AGGTAAACGAACTGCAGAACTTGACCTGTGCAGAAGTGGTGGTGCCCCGGGACCAGACGCCTGACGAGAACGACCAGGTTATAGTCAAGATCAGCGGACACTTCTTTGCATGCCAGGTGAGTTGCATAATAGAAAAGTGCTCTGGGCATGTTTTTCTGACACTGAATAAACTGCTATATATTATTTGCCTTTCACTGTAGCCATGCAGTTAATTTCCATTTATAACAAGAACAATGTTATGCACGCTGAGATGCTTCCAAAATTACTTGATTAAAAAAATAACTAAATTTGGTTATTTGTCTAACATTTTGCACAGGAGGTCAGCATTCTCATTGCGTGGCATCCTTGTACACTTCATTTTATGCTTTGCTTGGCAGTTTTAGCTTAACACTTGTTCCTCTTGTCACCTAGCTGGCCCAGAGGAAGATTCAGGAGATCCTAGCCCAGGTGAGGAGGCAGCAGCAGCAACAACAGCAGCAGCAGCTTAAGCCTACATCTGGACCCCAACCTCCAATGCCACGCAGGAAATAAACATCCAGCGGACCTGGAGGAACGGTGACCGAATCTTGCAAGAAGACTCGACAGAAGGACAGATGCAGCAGAGTCCAGGAGGGGGAGAAGACGATGACGGCAGTGGGTCCTAATGCTCATCTCAGGGGTTAAAGGTTGTTGGAGCCCAACCAAACATCCTCCCCTCCTTGTCTTACTTGGGACTGCGTAGCTGATTTAAGAAAAAAAAAGAAAGAGACCCCGCGCCTCCAAAAGTTCCACCCACTCCGCCTCTCTGCATCTCTGCGAGAATGTACTCCTGAGGGCTCCCACCGTCGTCACCTGCCCTCACAAGTGCGCACCCCTCAACCGCTCTACTCCTCCCCCAAAGGATGTGTTTAAACTTGTATTTTTTGTTTTCTTTTTACACTAGAAACACAAAGAAGAAATGAGGACCCCCGCCCCCCTCCTATCACGGCCTTGGTGTTGTACTTTAAACATGACAAGATGTTTTGGTTGACTTCAGATTTAGCGAACACCTGGTATATATATATTTTTTCTTGATGTTTAATTGGTTGGTGAAGCTTTCTTATGAGTTTTCTCCGGAAAGGAAAAAGGCATTGCTATCAAGGTCCTGTTTGGACCAGCTGAAAGATTTATTTGGGGAGGGGGTGC